CCCAATTAACTTATCGGCCAAATGACCTTGAAACAACATATAAAAAATCAGGGTCAGAGTCAGGGTCCTCTTTTTTTGAATCACAATGTGCCACAATCATTTTTTTTCCAAAGGCCATGACAGCCATGTGAATGGAACAGTTGATTTATTGGCTACAGAAACAGAAAGGTGAAAAGTCCCTGAACTGTATTTCTTAAACAGGTTGAAACATGAGTCTGACGAAAAACAGCAAATACAAATGGTTGATCAGACAACTCATCGACCAAAGGCGAAGTGGCTGCTGTCCCCCTGCTGGTGTGCAGCTCGAATTGCGCTTGCAAGCAACTGAAAATGTTTCAACAAAAAATGTCTTGGAAAGTCTTTGGGTTGACACACTCACACACACACACAAGGCGCCGAGTCGGCGTAACGGTCTCGAAGCTCAGCGGGAGTGAAATGAACGTCTGTGAAAATGCCATGCCGAATCGCTGTGAAAATCGCGTGTTGCCTCTCTCTTTCTCTTTGTTTGCCTGTACATTGATTCAAGTCTGATGATGTTCCTTTCGTAGCTTAAAGTTTCGTCACTTTTCGAGAAACCTGCAGAGTTGAAGTGATCCCACCAAAGGCAGATTGCACTTGGGAAACCTCGCGATTTAAGCTTCCAACTGTCACCCGCCACGAAGTCCGTATGTCGCGGCCTTTCAACATGGGAGCTCTGGACTTTCCCTCTTTCAGCAAAAACAGCGACTGCGATTGATGCTGGGCCTTGCAAGTAGAGTTCACAGTCAGCATCGCTCGCTGTGCACCAAAACCTCAGTGCTTGCAGCTTGTGGCAAAAGGAATGGGACACAACCCTACTAGTGATGGCCTCCAACCTAATAGCAAACTACATTAGACCTTTCTTCCTTCTCTTTTTTTCTTCGCTTCTAATAGCAATGGCCTCCACCACAACTACTCCCTAAAGATACCTAAAGCACCCGGACCCTCAGTTTCAGTTTGAGCAAGGCTTGTCCGAATACAAACGAAGCTTCAAAGTCCGAACTCAGCGCTTCGAACCTTACTACTAGGAACAAGAAGCTATTAGCTTATTGTTTCTACTAGCTTCTTGTTACTACTAGTAAGGCACTTGTTACTACTAGCGAGGCACTTGTTACTAGTAGTAACAAGAAGCTAGTAGAAACAATATACATTCTCAAAGACAGGTGGCCGACTGGTACTGCTCAAGGCTCCAGAGACATCGAAGTTGGCAGGGACCAAGCGCCAGTAGTTCAGGGACAAATCCTACGCTCGAAAAGTACCAGTGATCCATCAACTTCCAAGAAAGCTTGATTCGTTATTATCCACAAAGGACGCTACTAGGGGCTCCTGGCCTTACTACTAGGAAGAAGCTACTAGGAGCTCCTGGCATCGCTACTAGGAGCAAGGATATAAAACAAGAGATTTCGCCGTTGAATTTCAAGGCCAGGCAAAAATTCCGCCGTCCATGTAGCACATCTGGAAAATTCCTCCCCGAGGGAACCTCGCTCATTCGACGCTACCGATCAACAGTTTGGTTAACTCTTTCTGCTCACTTAACGCACGCTTGATTTCCTATGACAACATGATTCACACAATCGGATCAACTCAGCATAGAAAAGGAACAAGCAAACATCTGTCACATTGACAACTTTGTTCAGCCTGCTTGAATGCAAAATCACACCAAGCTGCCGTGCATTGGTCCAAATATTCCTCAGAAAGGCCGAAGTGGTTTCTCTGCCTACTCTACAGCTCCCTTTGATTGCGCATGCGTTGCTAGCCCAGTCCACGCATAACAAATGTGAGAAGTCTTGCCTTTCTTCCTGCTCCATTTCCCTGAGGGACTTCTGTGCCACACCCCTCTGCTGCCAAAGGTCTGATAGGTTTGCGCACTCTGCCCATCCTCAGCCAAGAACCATGGGTTGTGGGAATGCTGGCACGGCAGAATCAAAGTCTCTACAGGGCAAAACATGCGCTCTTGTTTGAACGTGTACTCTTGTTCAATTTAAGGGATATGATATGGGCTACATCGGGTTACGAAGACCTCAAATGAACTCTTTGCAAAACGGCCAAGCGAGCCAAGCGTCAGTTTCACCGTCCAAAGATGTTGCCACTGGTGCTTCAGACCAAACAACATCGAGCACCTGGAGAGGGATGTTGCAAAAGGTCCAAAAATTGAAACAAGAACAACACGGACAGCGAAAGGATCTCTTTTACACACGGAAAAACAACCGGCGAAGAAAAAAGCGGTTCGTCTACACTTTCTGAAACCTAAGGCGCTACTAGGGGCTCCTGGCATCGCTACTAGGAGCAAGGACGCTACTAGGGGCGCTCTGGCCGTACTAGGAGCAAGAAGCTATTAGAAACAAGAATTATATAGAATTCGATTTAAGTTTAGAAAAAAAGGATATCCTTTGATTTCTGAGACCTAAGGCGCTTTGACTTCGCCGTTTTTGTCGTATCAAAGCGTCAATGCCGTCAATGCCTGTCTGATCCGCCCCGACCGCTAGCGTTTCAGCTTCGCAAAGTGTAAAAATCAACCCTGCCTCATGCCCGGAGATGCAATCCGCATCAACTGTAGCCGTTTCCAGCACGAATTTCAATCCTGACAAAATTAAGCTCAAGTTTCTCTGCAACTGAAAGATACTGAAACTGGGTTCACCAATGCAAACCAGGAGTTTCAACAACTTGTAGTCTGACAGGCTCACGAGCGCGGACGATCCTGCTTAAGAAACCGCCAGCTGTTGAATTGTTTCTGCATGGGACGGTCCAATGCCAATGTTTCGTCTGCTTGACAAGCAATTTTTGTTACTAGTAGCTTCTTGTTCCTAGTAGTAAGGCCAGGAGCCCCTAGTAGCGTCCTTGCCCCTAGTAGCGATGCCCTTTGTTATTGGTAGCGTCCTCTACTCCCCCACGCCAAAAGTAGGTTGCAGCCCAGAATCTGATTTTGGTCACGTCTGTTTGCAAATTGCTGGATGCATGCCTTAACTGGGAAGTGTAAGTCCAAAGCTTTCCTTTGAAACTAGGACACCAAAGTGTAGTTAATTGGTCATGTCACAATATCAATGTATATAGTCACTTCTGAGTACTCACTTCTATCTACTGCTTTGTTGCCATGCTGCAGTGTAATTTCTGCATATGGTACACCAGCTTTGACAAACAGTGCAGTTGCTTGTTGTACATAGGAGTTGGCATTGCTCCTTAGCTTGGCACAAGCAAGGACAAACTAGAGTCGTATTATGTTGTATGGAGTACCCATTCAAGACTTCTTTGTCAAGTAGATAAGCCTTTCTCGAAAGTTGTTTGACAATTCTCGGACAATACAAGCGACAACAGCTCACCTCATTTGGATGAAAATTGAAGATTTGGTCATAGGGAGTCACAATCGAAACAGGTTTGCTTCACAGGTTCGCAGCAGGTTTGGTCAGAGACCAGGAGCGGAACTCCGTGAGCTGCGCTTGGCAAATGGAAATGAAGAAGAGCCTGGCCAAGAAGAGAACAACGTATTGAAGTATATTTTATATAGTCAAACAAGTCTCGGAGTTGAACGTTTTTTCCTATCATGTTGACACTGTGAACATGGCTCGGAAGCAGATTGGATGGAACATAGACTGGAACCTCCTTACGAGTCTCTGCTTTTTGCCCTAGTGCCCCACGCAGGACGGCAAAAGTAGACAAACTGTGTGAACATGACAAAGCACAAAACACTAACAATTCTCATCTTCTTGTTTGAGATGCTCGAACATGTCATGGCTCTTCAAATGGACAAATCATGATTGTTTAGTGATTGGCAAATCGGAGGCATGAGGTACTAGCCGCACCCAAAAGGAGAACTTCTCTCACAGTAACACTTCTGTGCACTTTGCCGCCTTCTATCTTCACCGTGTGGGATACTAAAAGTAGTCTCCCATTCAAGTATGCAATCAGCTGTAAGTTTTGCCTGGAAAAGATCATCGGCAAAGGTCACGAATTCCGTCTCCTCGTGCGAGCAGGCATACACATCTGCCGCATAAATCCCACACGACCAGGACGCAACTTGGTCACATGAGTAGTAACTTGGTAACATGAAGGCAGAACTTGTCAACGGAAAGAAGGCTGAACTTTTGAATGGCTTGAAAGACACTTCAAGCCCTAGAGAACTTATCGAAGCGTAGCTGAATCTATTGGGATATATACCTGAGGAGTTATCGCAAACCGATCAACATGTATCATCAAAACGTTGGAAGAGTCACATGATGTTGCACTCATTCGATTCGAGGAACTCTGGCAGGTACAAGAACCAAGACGAAAAGGCATATCCCCACCTGGTCCTGCTGGAATGACATGATGAAGCCATGGGTGGAGATCAATTTATATATAAGTCTGCGTTTCTGTCCCAGTTTTCCGTCTTGCAGCTTTTTTTAAGACTTGGTTTGGTCTAAGAAAAATGCATCTGTTGTTTAAAGCTTGAGGTTGTCAAGGCCACAGTGGTCTTCATGGTCTTCAAATGATATCTCTGGACCCACAAACGCACAGGACGGAGAAATGACTCTCAGCCATGCTTCAAATATCTTTGATTTGGGCACATATGTACCTTGTTGGTGGGTGCGCATTTCAGAGAAACAGCAGGAACCAGTCTAGATAAAGGATGAATTCAGAACTTCAAACTCCGACTCAAACCTGATTCGCTTCAGAGCTGGGGATCTTTGCTCACAATTTCACGCTTCTTGTTACTAATAGTAAGAATGCTACTAGTAGTACGGCCAGGAGCCCCTAGTAGCGTCCTTGCTCCTAGTAGTAAGACCAGGAGCCCCTAGCTAGGACTGGAAAAAACATCTTTTTAACACCAGGTGGATTAGTCTGATGTCACGGCTGTCACTTTGTGTCAGCGTGGCATGCGGTCACCAGACAAATACCGCTCGCGCTTCAGCTCGAGCAGTATGAAGAATGCTTTCATTCTCTTGCCAAAGAAATCAGCTTCAATGTGGGCTGTGTCAGTTGTAAGAGTACTTGGATTGGCTTTGCAAAACCGGTTTCCAGAAGGCAAGATGGAGCATTTGCCGAAATGTCATGTACATTAATTTCTAAGACGAATCCCTCAAGAATCTTTAGTCATGAGAGATCGGAATCTCTTAAGCATGCCCCAAGAGAACCTTGCTTTTCTTGAACTTATGGCATTAGGTTCTCCTGAGGCATATTACCTAAAGGCAAATCTTGACAGATTTGATGTCGTCAAGAGATCATGTGAATTCAAATGTCCGGGTCCTTCTTGAACAAACACGAAATGAAACGAGATGCATCCTTGGACCCAGTTGATGCTTCTTCACGGATATCCATTTTGGACCCACGCCCTGCTGGCCCGCTTTGTCCAGCGGTGTCAGGTACCTCAACATGTCCGAATTCGACATCGAACCTCCCAGAATCTATCGATGCTCGCTGATAACAAAGAGAGATAGAGAGTGTAAGGGACACTGAATTGATCAAGTGGCCCGGCACTTTTTGAATTTGATAGCTTCTGAATCTAGGAGAGTAGCGGCAGCATTGGCAAAGACAAAAACCGAGCAATTGCTACAAAACATTCAAGACGCGTTTTACTCCTGTCGCATCGCCCTGTTGCAGGCGCCTGATCAAGGCATCTTCTTACTGCTCTTCTCTGCCATCTTCAGTCATGGCTTCTGTCATGGCATCCTGCGACAAGTTTGCTGAAACAAGCAGGTTCTGAATCTCTTGACATGTCGATGCTGTCAAAACCAACAAACAAACACAAACATCTTTCACATTCACAAACACTCCTCAGAGCATTGCCGTGATGGTGAAGGCAGCACCTAGCGACATGAAATGTCTGCATCCCGGAAATCGATACCGTTTGAACGTCTGTTTTACCGCACGTTGAGAATAAATACAATATGTATGTCAAACACAACATACTGGTTAAGAATGGTTAACATACATTTGGAGGCCATCGCTAGTCGGTTTGAGGCCGCCAGGATGGACGCTACAGAATTGTTAAAATACATTTCAGTGATCGTGCAACAAAGACGCTACTAAGGGCTCCTGGCATCGCTACTAGGAACAAGAAGCAAGAAGCAACTAGTAACAAGGGCCTTACTACTAGGAGCAAGGACGCTACTAGGAGCTTTCAAACTGCGCCTCGCTCCTCCGTGGAGTCAAGCTGCGACGGCTGCGCTCCAACTGGCGCAAAAAGCGCTTGAAAATCAGTCCACGCTGTGACGTCGCATCTCGCTGTGACGTTGCATCCCGTCCGGGTACCTTTTGCGTACCAAAAGCCTTTGGCGTCCCAAGCTAATAGCGTCCTTGCTCCTAGTAGCGATGCCAGGAGCCCCTAGCAGCGAACATTGCCCCTAGTAGTAAGGCCAGGAGCCCCTAGTAGCAAAAGCCTTCCCTGCCTTCACCGAGAAGCGGCGAGTCATTGAGTTCTTCCGCTTCTCCTTTAATGCCTGCTCCTCAAAAGCCTCCGCAGGTGAAACACCACGATTGGAAGCTAAGCATACTAAGCAACACTAAGCAACCAAGCGTACTTTGATGTACTTTGTATTGATGTACTTTGTATGCTCAGCGTTCTTGCTTTTAAGGCATTCTTGCACAAAGTATCCCAAGAGAACAGATGGGCAGTGCACCCAGTGCACCTTGCGTGCCATCTGGACGTCGGCCAAGAACTTCGCCCAAATTCCGAAGAATTCATCAGTGGGTTTGCGAATGCCCTTGTCCTGATAGTGACACAACGTGATACAATTGAGTAGGAAGGAAAGGTCTAAAGGTCAATAGAAACAAACATATCAAAACATGTACGCTATTAGTGAAGGTCATCACAAGTAGGTTGGAGGCCATCGCTACTAGCAAGAAGCTACTAGTAACAAGGACGCCCCCCCCAAAAAAAGAACATTGTTACAAATTAAAAAAGACAAGCTACAAACCCCATCGCAGCTTTCCACACACCCCTTTCAGGCTGACCGGTGGTGGAAGTGCAAGCGCACAACATAAGGTGTAGTAATAAGTGCATCGCTACTACAGTAGAGTAACAAGTTCATTCTAGCTACTAGTAGCTTCTAGCTACTAGTAGTTTATCCACTTGTTGCTAGCAGCTTCTTCCTACCCATGCTCCTTTAAGGCTCTTGAAGGCTCATTGCGTTTCGCAATGTTTCACATAGCCTTTGCGTCTGGTGCGACACCAGCACACATTCATTCTGCTCTGGTTTTGGTTCAGGAGGACAGAGGATCAAAGCGGGAGATTGGTGCCGTGCAAGGTGTGTGCAATGGCCTCCACTCCCTAGTAGCGATGGCCTCAATCCTAAGAGCGATGGCCTCCAACTTACTAGCAATGGCCTCCAACCTACCAGCGATGGAATCCAACCTACTAGCGATGGCCTCCATCCTAGGAGCGATGGCCTCCATCCTAAGAGCGA